AGAGAGAGAGAGAGAGAGAGAGAGAGAGAGAGAGAGAGAGAGAGAGAGAGAGAGAGAGAGAGAGGACTCATGATCTGTTCAATTGTGTCAACTGTTTCAACAAGAGTTACATGTGCATATTGTTCAGCCAACTGCCAAGCACAGGATGACTTGGAGTCTCCTACCACTACATGCCTTTGACAGCAAGGAAAAGCAAATTAGAGGAAGTAGACGTAGTCTGATCTTGGGTCGGCTGAGAATTAACTCAACATCTTGAGTCTCCGGAGTGTGGGTGAACTCAGTAACTCAAAAAATCCTTTAGTCTGCTAAGTACGAATCAACCGAAGTGCTGTCCTTTGGCGCATCCGTTAAAATTGGAACGATACAGAAAGAAGGAAGATTAGCATGGCCGCTGCGCAAGGATGACATGCATAAATCGAACAATAGTCCAAATTTAAAAAAAAAAAAAAAAAAAAAATAGACGGCTCGCCCCCCCCTGGACTAGGTAGGGGACTAGATTCGCCCCTTTCCACCCATGCTATAGGGGGTTAGATTCAACCCTGAAAAGGTAAGCTCGGCCGGGAAGGCTCAACCCTGAGGGGTTAGGTAGGCTATAGGATAGATCGGGGAGGAAAGCGTCCCGCAGACCCAGCAACTGGACTTAGATAGACATAGAGGCATGAGGGTAGGTAGGGTAGGTAGTGTGAGGTATATTGGAGAGCAAAATATAGCTTAGTGAAAATTTAAAAAAATAAAAAAAAGAATCCACCGACTTTCTTGAGTCTTCTGGCTGTGGATGAACTCAGCAGCTCAGATCTTAGGTCTGCTGCGAATCAACTCAAGATCTTGAGTCGGTTAAGCGTGCATGAACTCAGCAAATCAGATCTTAAGTCTACTGAGTACGAATCAACCTAAGATCTTGAGTGTGCTGAGTATAAACTATCCTCTCTGAGGTTGGATGAACTCAGCACCCCATGTTCTGTTTGGATGTCCTGTGTATATGTGTGTGACGAACACAGGACTCGAACCCACAACTCAAGGCTCTGCGGGCTAACACCTAACCGTAAGCCTAAGTGGGCTGGGGTGAAAGCGAAGCTCCAAGATGAGTACTTCCCCCCACCCTAGCCCGGACATCCCATGACACGGTGTACCCAACCACACTCATCCTCTACACAGGCCACTCTACCGTAGTGTAACCTCTACGGCGGTTATTGTGTGAAAGCACGTGTACGACGAGCACAGGACTTGAACAGACAACTCGTGGCTCTGCAGGCTAACACCTGTCCTCGCCACATGATAGCTTAGTCATTGTGCTGCCCAGACTATAGGCTTTTGCTTGATTCCGCTATACGGCTCGTCTGTCGTTCTGTCTACCTCTCCAGTGGCCAGGACACGCCCGCCCCCAGCTTGCTTCTCCATCTACAATCTAAAGCTCCCGAGTTCCTACGGTAGTCTGTTGCTTAAAAAAAAAAAAAAAAAA